GTGGGGGGGTTGTTTTCCGGGGGAAATTTTCCGGGGGTTAATACCCAGTGGGTAATTGTCCTAGAACCGAGGACATTACATTCACACGGTGGTGTTATGATAAGTACATCCGTTGGTTTCTGGTCAAAACGGCAATAAACCAAAACGGCAATAAGTCAAAACGACAATGACGAAAACGGCAAAAAAACCAAAACGGCTACACATTTTGACCAGAACGGCAATGGACCAAAACGGCAATAAGTCAACGGCAAAACCAAAACGGCAATAGGCCTAAATTGTCATAGAAGTATAAATGCGAAAGAACGACAACAACAACAACAATAATAATAATAAATTTATTATTAATAATAATAAATTTAATATTAATAATAATAACAACAATAACATTATAACATACAAATTCAATAATGAAGAGATTGGGGAAGCTCAATATAAAAGCAGTAAACATTTAAATAAGTAAAACTTACGGTAAAAATACAGACAAAATGAGACTAAAAAATGTCAGTAAAAGTAAAAGTAGATATGAAAGTGTACAACGTTTAATTACGAAAAAAATGAGGCTAAATTGTCATAAAAGTAAAAAACGCGAAAGAACGACAACAACAACAACAACAACAACAACAACAACAATAATAATAATAATAATAATAATAATAATAATAATAATAATAATAACAATAATAATAAATAATAAACTAACTTTAAAATATAAGCAAAATGAAGCATCTAAAATAATTTCTATATTTAAAAAAAAAACAAAAAACGCGATTAAACATTAAAATATTAAAACCGGGAAAAAGAGCCCAGGGCAATATTCGATTTGCCTATCGGGACAATTTCAGAACGATTCAGAAAATTTATAAACTATGGCCCGCGCCCGGTGGTGGCGCTTGCTAGTTTTGGCATTGATTTCGCTCCTTTGCATGCTGTTTTGGTACTTATCCGTTTTGGTTATTGCCGTTTTGGTTACTTGCCGCTTTGACCTGCTACCCATCCGTTGGTACGACCATACGACGGTTACCAAAATGTTTCAACAAAAAGAAGTTGTTATAATCGGCGGTGGAATAAGCGGTGAGTTGAAATGTAACATAATCTAGCCAAGCAGGTCTAGAAAATCTGGTCAACGGTTACGGTAGTGAGCCATCATAATTATAATTATAGTAGTAGTGGTAGGGAACATGGTTCGATTTGTTGGTTGGACGAGGCGTCGACGCTAGACGAACGGAGTCATTCATGCATGACCGTCCTACAGGCGTCCTACTGCATAAGTAGATTTGGCTAAATCAGGGAGTTGTTTATAACAGGGAAACAACTCCCTGGCCAAATTGCGTTGTTCTAATCTAGGTGTCCCCGTGACAGAAGGGGTCACAGAATTTCCAGAGCTAGGCTTAGCTCAGAATAGAGAGAGAGCTAAGGTGAAATTTAATAATTTTCATTTTTTCATGGATTTTTTTTATTAAATACTGTACGGGGAATAAGATTTTGATGTAACACCTAAAAACTCCATGCAGGGGCGGATCCAGCCTGCTAGAAAAGGGGGAGGGGGGTGAAATCTGCGAGCGAAGCGAGCAGCCTTAGGCTGGGGGAGGGGACCGCCTAGAGCCCCCGGTGGGGTCCAGGGGAAGAGCCCCAGGTGGGTGTCCAAGGGGCTAAGGACAGCACATTGAAGAATATGAGGTTGTATTGAGTCGATTTTTTTTTTTTTATTAAAAGAGTAAAAAGTAAGTCTACTGAAGGGGTGTCATCATGTGTACACATATCAGTGTACCTACTGACCTCGATAGAGAGTGATTGATTGCACGAAAGTTTCCATGCTGGTGCATCTGCGCTTAAACTGTCTTTGTAGCTATGCATTGTGCGATGTGACATAGAATCCATTCAATTATCTCAAAAAAAAAAAAAAAAAAAAAAAAAAAATTGTGATTAAAAGGGGGCGCGCCCCCCCCCCCTTCAATCCGCCTCTGAAATGGATATATTATTTGGAAGATTAGCCTTACATTTGGCTATGTTTTTAGTCAGCTAGATGCAGTATCAGGACCACAAAAAGCAGAAAAAAGGAAATTCCGACCATGAAATCTTCTCAAACTCGGGAGTCGTCTTATACGCGGATTGCCTTATATACGCGAGTATATACGGTATATAAGGGACGCCGATGATCGAGATACAAAAAACACCACCCTTCAGGATGAGCATCATGAGTGTCTAGTGGCTTATTATCATTTAAAAAAAAAATCAAATCTCTATGGAGAGGGGCATTCGGATGCAGTGGCGTATCTAAAAGTCTTGAAATGGGGGTGCTGATAGTGGTAGTGGGGGGGGGGTGGGCGAAGGTAAACTCGATGATCAAAATAAGGTGATTTTTTTACTATGGCGGTTGGCGCTGCGCGTCAAAACTCTTGCCCTGTCAGTGTCGGGGGAGTTGCCCTGCCGTCGTGGAAATCCTAGTGAAGCCACTGTCCTGGACATCCGGCAAACTGTTTTAGTATAGAAGTGGGTCGTAAACATGGTTTTCAACGGAATTGGATGAATACCATGAAAAATTGCCGAAACCCGTTTTACCAAAAGTGAATTCAAGCAACATAAACCAATATCAGAATAAAATAAATACATAAACATGAATTAAGATATTTAGGCCGAAAATCTATGTATATAAAATAATATATTCGAACATTATACACACGCAATTGGGCTTTAACATATTTTAATAACAAAAAGTTTGGTAAGTCTGTATATGTATTTGTATATGTATTTTGTTATGGTTTATTTTCTTCTCCATTGTTGAGCGCCTCGAAGTTGTAACAACGCTATATAAATCCAGAATTATTATTATTATTATTATTATTATTATTATTATTATTATTATTATTATTATAGTATACATTGCTAGGGCCTATGTCACTGGGGCCTGTGCTTGAATAAATGTTGTTATAACAAAATATATATATATCCATATTTTTTTATTTACATTACTTACTTACTGGACAGCATCATGCGTTTCTGCACTTACTTCCTGACTTGCGAGAAATTTCCACATCTTTCGGTCCTGGGCTCCAACCTCTGCTTCCTCAACAGTCCACCTATACCCAAGTCTGTCACGATCCCGTTGGATAACATTTTTCCATGTGAGTTTAGGTCTTCCTGGTGTTTGCGTTTTCCATGTGTGTGCTTTATTTACATTACTGTAGCCCATACATATTAATCAACATTTTATTTCTGGTAGGTTTGTGTGCAACAAATCTACTACATGAACATGGACTTGATGTGGTATTACTGGAAGCATCTGAGCGTGTAGGCGGTCGAACCTACACACTAAAAGTAAGAATTACGTTGTCATGTAGTACAGTATCGTTCTTCTCCCGAGGGTCTGAGCAACTCCAACAGGGGTGGCTACAGTGCAGGGGGATGGTATATAATATCTGTCTCTTATACACATCTAGTTGTGTATAAGATACAGGCTCAGAATAGAGAGAGAGCTAAGGTGAAATTTCTGTCTCTTATACACATCTAGATGTGTATAAGAGACAGTCTAAATACAAGATAGGGTGTTGAGAGTGGCCAAGCAGTTGGATATTGATCATTATAAGATCATTGAAGATGCTAAATTGGTTTGGGTACAGAAGGTAGGAAACAGTATTCACAAAGCAGTTTTGAATTATTAACAAATATTTTATTATATAGCAATGAATAAGGAGACATTTTGTGAGTAACAGTATTGAAGTCAATAATATTAATAAAATTTCCTACACATGCATTAAGTTTTTAAAATACAATTTTTTATGTTTATGGGCTAGTCTCTGTATACTTGTGTCTATAGTTAACATTCAATCTTTGTTTTTAAAAGTCGGAGATATGTCCTGGTCTCGATCACCCTAGAGTATCTCTTAGATAGGCCAATATCTTCATAGACTTCTCGAATGGATATCTTGTTGGAAGCAAGAAATGAAGTTGCCTTTACCCAGTTACCGTTATATTTTTTATCAGCGGGAAATTTCCCTATGTTTGATGCGTTCCCTTATTCTCTTTTACTATAATTTAATAAACCACTGTCATGGGTTTATATAATATAATAGAAGTGCTAACATAGTTTCTCAAGTATATAATTATCTTGGGTACAATCCTTCCTGTCTTCCTAAAAGCCATCCAATTTGTGTTAATACTATAATTTATTTTCCCAGGGAATATTCTATCCATATATGCCATCCACGGCATATTATCCGAAATTCTGGAATCCATTTGTTTGGTTAGATATGAATAACATTGGCAGGCAGTGGGATGCCATCGGATCAACGGTAAGTAAATAATAATGGCCATGGTGTTAATGGTGATGATGATGATGATGGTGATGATGATGATGGTAATGGATGGTTGTGGTGATAGTGGTTAGTGGTGATGATAATATACCATTAAAAATTATAATAATGTAATAATAATTAAAGTGATAAGACCAAAAAATGGAGTGTTTATGTAACCACTGTGACAACTAGAAACTACAGGAATTAAAGAAAAAATCTTTGCAGACGCTTGGAGAAAACTAAACTTTATAGAAGGCAGTTGTTGGCCATTCAATAATTGAATCCTGATCTTATTTTTATTTTATTTTCGGGTCAGTCAATTTCGGGTAACATAAACATTTATTCTTAATGATGGTAACAACATTAATACTAATTGTTGATTGGCCGAGCGGTTAAGTCAGGGGCACAGTAATCTTCAGCTGTACTATCGGCGCTGGTTCGAACAGCTCACTCGCAATGGTTCCGGTGGTGGAACAAGTTTTCTCGGATAAGGACTTTAAACCGTAGACCCAGTGTACGCATTTGGCTCGTGTGCACTTTAAAGAACCTGGTACATCCTTAGAGAAGAGTAGGGGGTTACCCCGGTGTACTTGTCCATAAAGTCCCCTGTTGTTAAATGGATATGCCACGTAGGACAAGTGATTAAGTTCACTTATTGGCATATCCTTGGCGCTCGTGCCTAAAGAAATTAAACGATAACAATGCTACTGTAATGATAATCTGGACTTTAATTATCAGATTCCATCAGATGCGCCATGGGATTGTCCTAATGCTGAAGAACTAGATAAAATGACAATGCAGCAATGGATCCATAGGAACACCTGGACAAAGTGAGTCAGTGTTATGTTAAAGTTACTCTTTCATGTTTCCATATATTCATGAACTACATTTATATATTCATATACATATATATATATATATATATATATGAATACAGTATTATGTATTTCACATATTATTCGGTATTTTCTGTCTGTCTCTATGTGGTACAAAATGATATTTAGACTGAAAAATTGTGTCTGGAAATACCAAATAAGCACAAAGTGCATTAAGACTGGCTCCACCCAGAAAAAAAATTAATTGATTTATTTGCATTCCTATTATTATAGTTGTGTTCATTATTTTTTGTGAAGAAAGTGTTTGTACAAGATTCTTGTCAGAATACTGGTACATAAATAGGGCAGTTTTTGCAATTTGTCAAAAAATAAATTTTAGGAGTGTTGAGAGTTTTGGAGTAAGATTGGCAAATTGGAGGGAGTGCAGGCTTCCGGGTTGCCGTTTTTGGACTTTGTGTAGCTTGGCTTAAAGCCAAATGTTTGCCTTTTGTAAAATAAAATGAGATTCCCACCCTTCCCTAAACCATCAAGATCTTGTAGGCCTGGCTGAATTATAACTGCTGTTTTTGTTTGAGGACTGGTCATGATTTCTGTTGTAATATGGTTAGTCAGATACTGACTTCTGAGCCTCATGAACTGTCTGTTCTCTTCTTCATGTGGTACATCAAAGTGTGTGAAGGATTCATGCGCACATTTGCAGCTGAAAATGGAGGACAGGTGAGTGATTTGTTTGTGAATTTGTGGCCTGGGGATGTTGTGACTTGGAGTTAGTGTGGCCTGGATATGTGTGTTCCAGGCATACATGGTTGGAGAGAGCAGCTTAGCTCAGTCGGCTAAACTGGTGGAAGCCACTGTGTGTGCGCTGAACAGTGGAGATCTTAAAGTCCCGGTTCAATTCCTATCACTGCTCGCCTTGTGTTTCAGCTAGAGGGCTGAAATAAAAATTACATTTTTTTGAATGAGACGTTTAAGCCGTTGGTGCCGTGTGCATTATGGCTCATGTGCACTTTAAAGAACACGGTACATTCTTCAGAAAAGAGTATTTTTCAGAACACAAAATTACAAAATTAAACACATCATGCAATCTGGCAGATAGTTGAAAGAGCAAACAGCTATCTCTAGTGCAGAGTACAATTAAATGACAAAACATAGGCCTAATTCTGAGCAGATGTATTTATACAAGAAGTGACTTTAAGCAAAGCGTGACAGAAAAGACACAGGGAAACGATGGTGTTCAATAGTATCAGGCCTGCGTAGGTTTGTTGTTAAATGGAGACGATGTCAAGGAAGAGGCCTGGGAATGGTTTTGGCAAAATAAATTCAGACAAAGACCTCTCTAATTAATAATGTAAAAAAAATTACCTTTTAAGTACTTACAAAAACGTTTTAGTTACTGTTTTAGTGTTATGTTGTAAAGTTTTTCTGTGAAGTATTTTGCACCTAATGTAATATAAAGAAATCTGAATCCTAATTTGAAATACAGTCTGCATTATAATGTATGATATTCTATTTTAATTAGGAAAGAAAATTTGTTGGAGGCTCGCAAGAAATAAGTCTTCGTCTCCTAGAAAAACTAGGAAAAGAACGAGTGATCTTGGAAAGTCCTGTGATAAATATAGAACAGAATGACGATGGCGCATTTATTAAGACCCTCAATGGAGACATTTATAAGGTAGGATTGAAGCATGGACCTATTTTGATTAAAGGTTAAGAGTTAACTTGAGAGTTATCACTATTTTGACACCAAAAGAAATTGGTTGACGGATTGCTGATCACTTTAAAGTTCACCGATGAACAATTAATCAGTGCCAGTCAAACGTCTGTCACCTTAAGCTTAAGGCACCATTCAGATTCAGAGTCAACTTAACGTACCATCTACATCATATTAAACCACTAGTATATTCATGGTTGTGACCGTATCTTTTAATTGATTCCACGCATTTACTTGAGAGTTATCACTATTTTGTCACCAACAAAAACTGGTTGATGGATTGTTGATCACTATAAAATTAACCAGATGAACAAATCAATGCCAGTCAAACCTCAAGTCACCATGTGTAGCTCCTTAATGAGTTCTTGCTACTTTATACACCATTCAGATTCAGAGTCATAACTTAACGTAGCATCTACATCATATTAAACCACTAATCTACTGTTAGTTGTGATCATTCCTTTTAGTCTAGCTGCCACATACCTACATATTAGACTGATATTCCCAACTTATACAAGAAAACTATTTTTGTTTCAGGGTGGTGTTCATGAATGTGCTCTCCTAAGCTCTCCCTCCAAAAAGAATATTTTGCTTAAAGTAGTTAAAAATCTCCTCGTATTCTTCTTTCTCTAGCAAGCGACCAAATTGTCCATGTTCTAGTACTGGTATAGGCATTTATAATGCGCCTCTTCCCTTAGGTTATAAAGCACACTTCTTTTCTCTGGTCATTCGGTCCACGTGCTTTAAGTGTTGCTACTGGTAATCAGCACAGAAGCAGGCAACACCACCAGGTACCCATTTATGCTCCTGGGTGGAGAGAAGCAATGCAGATAAAGTGCCTTGCTCAAGGACACAAGCGAAATGCACAGAGAGGGATTGAAACCCCGACCTCGAGGTTGGAAAGCCAAAGCGTTCCCGATGCGCCAGACCGCTTCCATGTTCTATACCGGTACCCTTACACTGAATTGTGGACCTTGGTTTATAATATTACAATTTATTTTACAGGCAAAATATGTTGTGATGGCGATGCCTCCTGGTATGGTTCAGAAGATACATTTTAAACCACCATTACCACCCCTCAGAAATCAGCTCATAGCCCGTGCACCAGTGGGATCTGTCCTCAAATGCATTGTGTACTATAAAACACAGTTTTGGAGAGAAAAAGGTTTGGACATTTGCAAAATGTTTGGAGCTATAATTTAATCTGGTTTGAATATGATTTAAATGGTAAAGTTATATACAAATAAAAAAAAAACACTCTAGAGATTACAACATTCAACGTTGAAAGAACTTTCGGAAATATATAAGCATCAAGTTCCTTTTATATATTTATTTTCTATATTAAAAGTTCATTTTACACAACCATTAATATAGACACAAGAGAGAACTACATACTGGGTATCAAAGTATTGACGTAGACTTAGTCTTCATTTTTATTGTGCAGGTTTTTGCGGGTCTAGCTGGGGTATTGATCCAGATATCCCCATTAAATGGTCCCTTGATGATACAAAACCTGACGGAACTGCTCCAGCATTAATTACGTAAGTTAAAATCAGATAAAACTCGCTTTGTTTGATTCCACCGTCTTCCATAACTTGTGCCATAATGCCTAATGTGGTTAGGTCATGATTTTTCTTTAAAATAATTGTGGATCTTTCTATCTTTTCATCTATTTCATCCCAAATGCTCTCTGCCTATACTCAAGTGTTTTTGTTGGCATTTAACAGGTATGAATATTTTGTCTATGTATCTGTTTTTATTTATTGATTATTTTATTTTACGTTTTGGTCAGCCAGACATTCATCTTGTTTAAAAACATCATGCTTAATCACTAAACAATTTATAAACATCTGTTTGAAGTTTCACCCCGAAAACCTTTATTTGGAAATAGCTGGCGACAGTTTTACCTGTAAATTTAAGCCAGTTTTAGGTAGTTAGGAATACTTTTAGGTAGATGTCCTCACTACGACGTTAAAATACATATACTCGAGTCGCCGGTGATTAACCAACTCCTTTACTGCTGGCTTTAGCAGCCTTTGGTGGATGGTCACCCAGCAGCAAGAAAAAAAAACTTACCAAAGGGCAGATAAGCTTCTCAGAGTCAACGTTCAACTATGCTTTATGTGTAGTAGGATTAGGATTACATTCAAGGTTTATTTATTATGTTTATTTTTTAAGCGCATAGATGTCCTAATAATAAAGCGCTCTAAGTCGAGTGCTACTTTTATTACTATTACTTGGACTCCATAAAGTGTGTTTGCCTAATCTTTATCTGTTTACTGATTGCTTTCATGCTTTGTCTTACGTCTGTAGGTTCATAACTGCAAATAAAGCTAGAGAGTTCTGCGAACTATCAAAAGACGAAAGGTAGGCTACTGTTTAATCTTCATTCAGGAATAGCTTTGTGTAAGAATTCTAATAAGATTACAAAGCAAAATACTAAAAAAAAAAAACAATAATGCAACAACTATACAGCTTTGATAAGCAACAAAATACTCAGCCAGAAATAGAACCAGAGCTTATACGGACAAAACTGGTCCTTCCTCTTTGTTATTAAAATATAGTTATGAGTGTATATTAGCCATCCAGAAATTAACTAGTTTAACTTAGTTATGGTTGTGGTTATTGTTGTTTATTGTCATGGTTATTATTGTAATTATCATGTCATTATAGACAGGCTAAAATCTGCCAATATTTTGCTAGCGCATTTGACTCTGAAGAAGCCTTGCATGTGAGTATTTATTTTCTATCTCATATAATGATAAAGAATGATAATGCAGGAATTTGTACCGCCCCTTTTGCCAAGAGATACAAGGTGCAATAGAAATAAATAAAAAATAGATTACAATTGGCAATCAAAAATCATACCAAATATCTCAGACAAAGAAACACTAAAATTGGACAGTTCCGAGAGATCTAGTTGGGGAATGAATGTTTCTTTGAAAGCCGATGAAAAAGTCATATATCACAGGGAATCACTATTCTAAAGCCTAGGTGCATCAATTGAAAAGGCCCTATCACCAGCATTCTTTAGATTGAGGTATATGAAGGCAAAAGAAAACAGATGAACAGATGACCATGGCAATATTGCTGCCTATAAGATAATAAGCAACAAATGTAAGCAGGGTTGGCCTACTTTTAATTATTGGCGGTTAATAACAAGGGCTCCTGGACAATAAAGGAGCAAACATGTAAAGCTGCGGAGATTAAGCTTCAGCTCTGCTGGATCAATGTTCTGGAATAAACTTTTTAAAAAAATATTAAACACTCACCTTCACATCACAGTTTTAAGTCATACTTAAGATGCACCTTTTTTAAAACCTCTTTTAACCTAATTTAGCCTGTTAACTACGTCGAAAAGAATTGGATGGAAGAACCTTATATAGGTGGATGTTACACAACTGTATTTTCTCCTGGAACCTTATTCAGATATGGACGGTAGGACAAGCACGTTAGTTAATAGTAAATTTATATATATAATGTAAATAGTGATTATATATATTTTTTTAATGAAAATCTGAAAATGATATTTATTTATTAAATCATAGTAATAATATTATGTTTGTATTATGAGAGGTATTGTATTATATAAAAATTTGGTATACAAAAGCTACCAGGGGAGGCAAGATTAGTCTTCATGACTACTGGTTAATAATTAGCCTCCCCTTATTAATATTACAACTAGTACTATGTTATATATATATAAATTATTAAATTTATTGATATTTAATAATAGTATTGTTTTTTTTAAATCATTTTAAAGTATTATTATAAATATAATCTTGGTTTCATATTTCGAGTTGAATCTTTAACAGGGAGTTGCGTAAACCAGTTGGCTGTGTTCATTTTGGCGGGACAGAAACTGCTAGAAAGTGGGCAGGCTACATGGATGGGGCTGTCGAGTCTGGTGAGAGAGCTGCTAGAGAGGTATGCTATACTCACTGTAAAGTAGACTTTATACAGCGACACGACATAAACAACTCCACGACATAAATCTCATATTGAGATTTAGTTTGTGTAAAGCATCGCTTGTGTATGTTTGTCTTGTGTAAGGGATTGTCACCTACAAGTAGGACAGTGATATATATTCGCTATTGGCAATCCTTGGCACATGTGTTGTGTGCCTAAGGAAAGAATAATAATAATAATAAAAACGTTATTATACAGTATGTGATGAAATCCAGAAAAACTTAAATTTTATGAAACATGATCAAACAAGTGATTTTTTTCTGAGTATACAAATTCTTACATTGGTTACCAACCAATTTAAAGGAACATACAAAAGAATATAGAAATGGTATTATATTTGATTGTTTATGTATTTGTTAATTGGAAAAACATCTTTACTCTTTCTAATTTTTATTTGAATGACAATTACTGGCCTAAATTTACAAATTCAATTTGTGTCTTAAAATCAAGGCTATACTGCACGCAACTAATAGAACACCAGTGTGTTAATGAAATAGTTTTAACAAAATAATAGTATACTCGTCTTAGAGGTTTTTTCACATTCTCTGGAATAGATTTTCGCAATATTTCAGTGTTAATTATATTTCCTATTTAGATTCTATTTGAAGAAGGAAAGATTAGAGAAGATGAGATTTGGCATGATGAGCCTGAATCAAAGGTACATATATTTTATTTATTATGTTGTACATTCAGCAGTAAATAAAAAAAAAAACATTTAAATAATAATTACAAATCTTGAAAAGTGATCTATGGCATTTCTTGAACCCTAAAACTGTCTTAAAAATGTTGGCTTATATACAGTAACCCTCGCAAATGATTCTAGTAGACAGTCCCCTGTCCTATAGATATGAATATGATAGCCGAACTATGGGGTGAATATTTTGGACATAATGGGCCCGTCGCTTAAAATCTCTCGAAAGTGTTCCCAGAGACGAAGCCCCAAAAAACTATGCCAACTTAGGGGTTTCAGAGGTTTATTTAATCGATTTTATGTAGAAAATACATAACATTGCTTTTTTCTGCCGGACAAAATTGTGGTTTCTTCTCGACGTGGGGGGGGGGGCTTCTCCCAGACAGGGCCCTGGCGGGCTCCCTCTGGCGCCACCCCTGTGTTAGTCTATATGAAATTGAACACAAATGTGCTGAGTTTTGTTCCAAGTTTGTTTACTATTAAAAGCAATATACATCTCACCTTTATCATTGTACAGATTATATTTATCCATCCGCTATCTACAGTATTTTATCATGATACCTTGTAATGTTATTTTCTTTAGGAGGTTCCTACTCTTCCATTTCAAACAACATTTTTGGAAAGAAATGCACCGACTGCTCGTGGTTTCTACAAGTTCTTGAAAAATCTTGCAGTTTTAGGGACCTTGGCAGGAGTGTTTGTCATTTACAAAAAAAGATTATTGTAGAAAATAACACATACTATTATTGTACATCCTAATGTAGCTGGTTTGTGCAAATTTACGAAAACATTTTGAAACTCGCTGCTCAAAGTATATTTCAACGGACTTACGGTATAGGTATTTAATAAGTAAAGAAAGACTGCAGATATTTCAGCAGTTTTTAATTTAAATTTATAATGAGGTGATAATTTGGAATTTGCAATGGAGAACAAGTTCTAGAACTAGACCTGTTCTCCTTGATTTTGTTTTCTTCCATTCCCTGCCAGCTTGCCTTTTTCTAAACTTTCTATTAGGATATGAGACGCCCGAGTCATGGGATGGCCGAAACCCAATGCTGGACAAAGTACATTTTGATAGATCGCTGTTCAGTGACGAAGACGTGTTTAGAGATCTTCTTTCCTTGTTTTTTCAATAATTACATCTGTTCCTTTGTTTTTAGCGCATTATTAATACCCTTGTATTTTAATCGGTATAAACACATAACCTTTACCTTAAAACACAACATTTTCCTTGTGAATTTGCAAAACTCGACGAGAGTTTCCTCTGCAAATTGCTAATTATGTAGTACAGTTAAATTTGCAAGTAGACTTTGCCTAACTCAAATAATTTCTAAGTCAATCTTATTTTACATTCCAAATTATTGTGTTTTCCATTAATTAATGATCTGTCAAATTAACAAAAGTCAAATTTTATCTAAGTTGAACAATTTTTCAATGCCATTTTGGCATTGAAAAGTGTATTTCAATTGTTTGTCTTGTAGGTCTATGAACCGCCACCGTCGATGTTGGACTTTTCCGATCTTACTCTTCCCATTTTGTTCATTGTTTTCTTCATTTTGTTTTGTTGTGTGTCTTAAAATCGTAATAAGTAAATTTACACTAATTAAGGAACAATAGGTACTATAATAAATTGGTGAAAAATTGCAATCTCTGTGTAGGCTTTATATGTGTATATATATATACACATATATATATAATAAATATATAAATTGAAAAAATGAAATAACAGAATAAATGTATATTAAGTTATTTTTGTACAAATAAAAAAGGCAAACTGATATTTTATATAATTGTGAACATCAAGGAAGAGAGTTTTTACATCACTTTTGTTTTATTTTGAAATTATTGAATTACATAATCTTCCGTGCAGCTCTCATACCCTGATCTTAATTAGTTTCTGGTTTCTACAATTTCAGTTCCTATTTGAAATATTTCATAACTTATAACACTTATAATACAATAATATAATATAATATATAATATAATATAATATAATAATAATAATACTATATATTGTATTGAGTATGGTTAGGTTTACACGAGAGCCCTAGTATCCGGATCAGAAGCTATCGGTTAGCGCTAACCGTTACCAGAATTCGGATATGCAATCGGTTAGCAAGTTGAACACATTTCTATCATTAACCAATCACACATACGAATTTCCAATTTCCAGTTTCCTACCTTCATCTTGATTATCTGGATTGGAATTCTCTTGTATGAACACATGTAAGTGCGTAAGTTTGTAATCTGGATCCTGCTAACCATTAGCAGCCGTGTATAAACATTGCCCATGTCATTGACTGTGGCAGTGGTATATTTATTTTATCAATATAAATAGGGTTTATGAGAGAGAATAATATTTTTAGAATAAAGACACTCCACAAATAAATATTGATTTTAATGCAGATTGATATTTTTAATGTTCTTAAGCTACAATCATTGCTGTGTTTTAAAGGTTTACAATTGATAAAAGGTAATAATATTTTAATAATGAAAGAAACAACATTGATTTATCAATACAACAGTTCTTGTAAGCATAGGGGCTATTGCACATGCACTAAACTATTAAAGGCTTTTTAAGGATCATTGCAAACATCAATTATTTTACAAGCATACCATATTATATACAAGGTGTTTATATGTTTACACAGCCCTATACTTTAATCAGTCCATCACTTTAAACAATGGTACCTGTGGTTCTGCCAAAACAAATTTTGTGTTGAACAGAAGTACAGAGATGATTTGTATATCAGGATCTGTCGGTCGGGAATATATATTTATTTTATAGGCCTACGCATAATTCTATGGTTAATGGATAACCCAACATGAGCCCCATGAATTTTGGTTGGTAACCACTATTCAAAATTTCATTATTCCTTTAGAGTAATGCATCCCTAAAATTGTAAATTCACGGTTGTGCACCAACAACTTTATAGGAAGGCACTGGATTTGGGGACAATACATATTAATTTTGTTATTTATATCAATTATCTTCATACAGAGTGCATTTACTCCACAATACATGAATTGGAGTTAAAATCAAATTAACTTGGAATGTGCAACAAGCTTTAGAAATTGTTTTTAGAAATATTTACTACAACAAACAATACTGTTAATATCAATCAAATTGAACCTGTCAACCCCCTAGCAAACTCGCTCCTTGCAATCTGCCCTCACAATCTATCTGACTATACAAAGTCGTCCCCTAACAAGGGGCAAGTTTGCTAGGGGGTGAGTTGACTGGAATCCCAATCAAAACACATTTTAATCTGGAAATGCACATCATAATATCTAAGTTTGCAAAATTCCATATATAAGGGAAAAAATTATCATGAATACTAAATGAAATTATTAAAAGCTTAAAATAAAAAGGATAACAACTTAAAGAGGAATGTACAAGCCAAACAAACAGTATTTACTGCTTATAATAAAATCTACAATACTATCATGATAAATATTATCTTCATTATCATCAACAAGATGAAATGGGTATTAACGACAATAGAAAATTGAATAAAAAAATACTTTACAAAAAACACTTTTTTAACCATTATCTTAATCACTGTGGATCAAAAGCCATAATAATACTAGTGTAAAACCGTATACAAAATGCCAAAGGTATGATTATATAGACTTCAATTTGTATACTATACATTGTGCGCATTTACGGGTTAAACAGAGCCTTTAAGCTACATTCACACCAAAGCCCGCGGATCCAATCCTGTGCTTGGACAAAAAAAATGTGAAAAATGGGTTTAGTGGTAAAGAATCTGTTAACATCAAATTTGTACAATTTCCAATCCGGACTCCGGATCTGGAGTAATGGATAATCATGAAATCGTACATTTTTTCGTTACACCAATCAGCAACAAGCATGAATGACCTCTCTAGAAGTTTTCTGTGTGCGATATGAATGCAGCGTTCAAAAAACGTAACAACAAAAAAAACAACAAAAAACGGACAGGATCCAGGCTAGATGTGAATATAGCTTTAGTGGCCCAGCTTTCAGTTTGAGCTTATTGATACAAAATTTAAAGCAATAACAGTTTTGAAAATATCATTTTCGATTTTTGAATCAATGATCAACATAATGTCTCTTTATCATGAACTTTTTTATGATTACATAACACAATTTTTTATCAATGATAGTTTTCCCCTTTATATCATTTAGTAAATTTTCAAGTTCAAAGGGATTGGTTATCGGATTATTGACACAAGAACACATTTTGGGGTATAATGGATGTGTGTGCTTACTTGCACAAGTAGGTACATTGTGATGTGCGTATCGGTATATTGAATTCCTGTAGATATGAGCACTTAAGTAGGGCTTCCAAAATCCACTGTACCCACCTGCATAGGTACAATAATATTGTACCTATGCAGGTGGGTACTGTTTACATATTATGTAAACAGTATAGATGCTATGTGCATAGGATTTAGAAGGATGGATAATTGCATGCACTACGCATCATTAAATTAGGGGTGTGCATAAAATTACAAGTATACAATACAATAAATTAAAAAAAGTTGCTTTAAAAAGCTAAGTTAGCAAACTTTAGTGGATTGCATGAAAGCATCAACATTTTATATAAAGTTGATAAAATAATTATTGATTAATTTTAATTGAATATTTGTAAACCAACAGGACACAAAATCCACAGCAATATGCAAGTTGGCATGGTTGCATGGGTTATGATGTGCAGGAGTTGTTCATGTTTATACAATGAACAAAGACACACACCAACTTTTAACTCGGTAAAGTAACTGAAGGGTTGTTCAAGGGCCATGGGTTAAAATCCAGATTGAGACTAACTTTATCATTAAAAAAATATTTACCAATGTTATCAAAGAGTATAGAATTGTAAGAGGTCAGAGGTTGTATGCAAGCAATAAAACCTTAAAAAAAAGAACTACCACGAGATAGGGGGCGCCCTATTTAAAAACGCATTCTCTTGAAGGACGCCCTTTAGTTCGTGATAGTACCCAGAGTTCTATACTCTTTGTTGTTGTTATTCAAATATTCCTGGCACAGTTCTGATTGGTCAGTTCCAGTTGTTGAAGATTGACTGACAAGGTCCACTGACAGTCACTCCCTTAATACAAACAATGAATAGTGACAAAAAACATACAATTATACTTTCTTAAAATAAAAGCTTAAAATTACAATTTTCATAAATATATTAATTATAATAAATACTACTAATACATACAAGCTAATTTGTTTACACATGTTGAGTTGCCCCTTTCATTCAGAACAATTATTTACTAATCAAAATTATACGATTTATATGCAAACATTTTGGAATAATTTGAAAATTTCAAAATCAAATTTGTGTGATACATTATGCTTCTATTTATGTAAAATATACAGAATGGGATCACATCTGCCCCTTCCCAATGCACCCCACCCCTCTTTTCATGTGAACATTTATTAATTCTTACAACCAGACTCTGCAGCCTATGTTACTGTATTGTCACTATTGTCTCCTCCAGGACAGATGCCAAAGTATTCCCTAAGAGAACAGTATGTTCAGTAATTAATAAAAATTTACATATTATATAAATATTCATGAGCTGCGATTAGAAGGCAATCTGATACGATGACAGATTTCAGATATTACGTGCAAAAATGTTGTAAAGTGTTGAGAGGAGCGAGGATTAAATAAGCATACCAACAGTGTTGTAGCGATAGAGCTAAATATTTAAAATTACTATTAATATTATTAATGTTATTAATAATCAAGAAGACTTTATATATATGTAGTCATCTGTAAAGAGGATGAAATAAAACAAGTCAACATTGTTCTACTCTCAGCAAAATCAATTACATATTCTAACACAGTAAATTAAAATTTGAGCATTATTTACAATATGACACTTGGACGAGATGACGATAGGAAATAACTATAAATGATTAAAAGCTATAAAGTATAATTTTTCTTATTGCAATGGACTGATTTATCAAACAATAATATAATACACATTACAATTATTATGCAAATTTGTACAGTAATACTGATGACATCAGCAACATAGCACAATTGTTAGTTTTAATATCATTTTTATATTTTTAATGTTATGCTCAGGTAGGTGCTCTCTTATCGGCATTACATTATTTAATTATGGACATAATATATTCACCAATCACCAAACAACCAATCATCAATCAACCAATCATCAATCAACCAATCATCAATCAACCAATTATCGATCATCAATCTATCATCAACCAAGCAATCACCAATCAACCAATCATCAATCAACCAAGCAATCATCAACCAATCAACCACTCAACCAATTACCAACCAAGCAATCATCAACTAATCACCAATCATCAACCAACCAAGCAATCATCAACCAATCATTAACCAACCAAGCAGTCATCAACCAATCATCAATAATATCATCAATTAACCAATCATTAATCAATAAGAAAATAAATCAACCAATCAATTGATGACTAATGCTGCCAGATTTTACATTCAGCTGAAAAATGTTCCTAAGTTGTGGTTTAAACAGTCTATTTATGAAGACTGCCTAGCAATGCATATATTCTTATGGGTTTTATTTGTAGTGAAAATATAATGCCTTTATAACTTGTTAATAAAAATATGATATGCAAATGAGTATGCACTAATTAATACTGGAGGAAGGGAAAACATTATGTACTTGTATTAATCAGAATTGTTACTTATTGTTTACTATTATACACTGACCCATACAGGATTTGAACATTTCATAACAAATGCAAAGATACCTTAAAGCACACATTAAAAAAAAAGAAAAAAAGACAATATACATAGAGAATGTTGTGTGTAGAGACACAACACAGATATCAAAGACGCCAAGGCCTATTTCCAATAACGTGTGGTAGCAGAGAGCAGCAACGGTACATAAAATACTATTAAATTAAATGGAAGTATGCGCAATGAAGATGGACCTACCAATCATGTTTTATAATAGGAGCGTTCATTGATTTAACATTGGAAATAGTAAAGCATTGTCTTTTAACCTGAGAAAACCAATCACAAGTCGTAATATGATCAGCATTGTGAGTGTGACAACATTATGGTCTAGAATGTAATGATTGGTCAATGCCTTGACATAGAACAGGTCACATCGGCTGGGTCAACCCTGTCAAGCCACCTTATTTGAAACACTTGACGTGAATGCAGTTTCATACCAGACGCGCGATCAAGCCACAATCTCACACCGCAGAGCATTCAACATTTAAATGATTGGACAATGTAGAGTATCGTTGTTGAAGGAGCAAATGTAGATTATTTTGCAGTAAAAAAATCTTCGTCTGGTGAAAATCCAAAGTCTGAATTACTGTACACGATTGCCTGTTGTTTTCTTGTAACCTGACTGGGACGCTAGCATATAAATAAAAGATACAAAAAGCTACGTGGTTTATGGGACCACTTGTAGTGGTGCTCCCAGTTACAATAAAAAACAAGTGTATTCACAGACTGCAATTAACATGTAAATAATATCTTGGCATACAACTAAATTTTGGACAGATTAATTAAATACAGTAAAGAAGGTTACTATGCAAGAAAAGGATGCAATAATGATGGTTCCTCTGCAGTAGACTGTTCCTTGGTTGTACTAGGTTTTCATTTTTTTACTTTTGTGAAACATCTGCCCATAAATACCATGTATTATGCACTATAAAAATCACCAACCATAACATTACTATTATTAATATGATTTTAACCCTACACCTGGGTTATTATTTTTAATGTAGGATGGCAAGGTTTTGAATGGAATTTGTCACCGCCGAGCTATTGTTACTCCATTCCATATCTATTGGTCATGTCTCAACCACACAAATCATACCAGTTGGTAGGATGATATAATAATTATAAGGAATACAATAGATTTTACCTATTACCAGATTATATCAGTTCATACCACGCTTAGTAGAGAATAGGCCTTTATGGAGTTTTCAGGCCTATTGCTTGCATACAGTTTACTGCTCAGTCAGTTACTGCTTGTTTTCAGTTCAATTTTTTTGTGAGGGGATGGTAAAAGAAATCCATTACCAATGATATGGTGATCCTTGTTCACAATCAGCACTTCTTCCCCTGTAAAAAAACAATTGCAAATTGATGATATCACTGATTAGTTTATTACAGCTGTTGCACACGATTCTACCTAATGATCTGGTAAGTATCAGTTTCGGTGACAAATAATAGGCATGATAATAATAATAATAGGCATGATGATGTCACCAAACCTGATTAGGGGATTTTGATTTAGATGTGTGCGTGTGATTGTGACTGGTGCTGGCACCAACTAGAAGTGTATCAGCATTTTATTTGTCAACGAATCTGATACTTATCATATCATTTAGGTAGAATCGGTTGGCTGTTGTGACCATTATTGGTGACAATTTTGCTTTATATTTTAACTGATTTTACACTTTGTGACCCTCTGGCCAAATTGAATGTAAATATTTAAGATTCGTTCCGTATTACTTTCCTTGTACTAATCTTTAGTTTTTAAATTTAAGGTGCTTGTCTTCCAACCCAAAGTCCTAGGTTCAAATCATGTCACAACACCAAAAAACAGCAGCGTAAATGTGCCTCAACATGTGCATTTGTGGAACAACACGTGTATTTGTAAGACACACGTATTCCTGGTAGGTTGTTAAGTTTGACTGATACTTCGGGAAAGGTCCATTCTTCTCTCTGTCTGGATTATAAATTTTTTGTTGACAAAAAACTATTGTATGCCCATATATAGTCATGATGTGTCTATATATGGTCATGATGTGCCTATATATGATCATGATGTGCCTATATATGGTCATCATGTGCCTATATATGGTCATTATGTGCCTATATATTGCCATGGTGGAAGCGGCCTTGTCGCAGCCCTGGATAACGCCACCATAAACAAGATCAAGTCAACATCTAGGCCTACTTGTATCACCATTTTCATCATGCATTATGAGGAACCTGGCAGAGCACAATGACTGAGCTACAAACTGTGTCCAGCTCGGGCTGAAACAAAGTATCTAGCAAGTGTGTGGACATGATAAGAGGATGACCATATTTAGGCATGTCACATGTTTTTGTCAAATAACATTTCATAGTCTGGACAGGACTTAACCCTAATATATTGAGACTTAGTTTGTGTAGAATATTGTGTGCATGTTTGTCACCTACCTCCAAAACAGTGTTTACACTGATTAGGTGTCACCCTCATCAAAAAATGTTAAAAATTAAATTTCTTACATCATCATATTCTAGAAATTACTTACCAGTGTGTTTGATGCTGGTTGTAAGAGAAAAATGGGAAATGAATGACAGTAATGAAAAGTCGAAAATTACTTACCGGCTTGAATGACCTGACCATTACTAACAGTGACCTCTGAATTTGCTGATGAAAAATCAGTTGATTGATTTTTTTCTTCGCATTTGTTACTCTGGTCAGCAGAAGTTCGGCCGTTATCCTTCCCACCTTCCGCATTAATGGACTGCTCTTGCTGCTGCTGCTTCTGTTGATCGTTCACCGCCACATCATCAAATTCGTCAGACAAAGATTCGTTTCCGATTGACAAATCATCGTCATCGCTACCAAACATTGCTTCTGCTTTGACGAATTCTGCGAATGGCTGCATTTTTTGTATCTGAGCGAAATACTGTACACCCTTTGTCGTACCGGTGATCAGAGTCCGATTATCAATAAGGGCCTTGTTCTCAAACGGCGTAACGGCGGCCATAACACATTCACACCCCATAGTTTGTAGTATCTGCATCTGTAAAACAAATTCAACAAATTATAATGCAATGTGCACTAAAAATCATTATCATTATCATATTTTATTTATATATTTATTAAGAATTCAACAACAATACAGTGTTAAGAGGAAACCATGGGCCACATATGATTATCATATAAAACCTTGTAAAACCTTCTGTTTTTTTAGAACCCCTGAATAGGCTTCTTTTTAAGATGGGCTTCTTTTCAAGATGACTTTTGTAAACTAAAAAGAAAGGATTCTTTTCAAAATGAATCCTATGAATTTTGGAATTGTTACTATTCGACAATTTTCAAACTATGGAATTCAAAATTCTGTTTATCCTTGCTAGTACAATGAAATACTATTGATATTAATCATCAAAGATAATGTTAGTCTGAATGTGAGGCCTATCTCAAAAGAGTCCATATTATCTTGACTAGAAGCCCATGGGCTTCTTTTTGAAATTACTTTTGCAAGCTGAAAAGGGGTAATCGGCTTCTTCTCAAGCTTAAGCCCATGGGGCTTCTAATTGAGGCTCTACAGTATTGCTTGGCTATTTTTTGATGCAGTAATAAACAAATGTTTCTATTGTACTGGTACATTGACAGTTCTGAGGGGGGGTTCTTTTGTAAATCTGTATAATTCTTTCGATATCCACTGTATAAGTGGCCTTCCTGTGCAAAAAATTTGTGGAACAACAGAAACATTTTCTCTTACTTAAAAAAGCAATATTTAATATTTTTATGTTGTTCCCATATTTGTTCATAGAGATAACAATATCTACGTTCCATTCTCAAGCTTCAAGAGGTTAAACAAATTTCTTACATGACTTTTGATGGCTTCTATTACAGCCTGTACATGCATTTGCTGTTGGTCAATAGCTGACATCATTTGTGGATGTCGAGATGGATGTCCGTTCCTCCCATCAGTCAAAAGAGTACTGGGAGACCCTTCTCCAAGCCATCCAGCTTGGGGTTGAGCAGGACCTTTGTCGGGCTGCGACGAACCTGATACCACTGATAAGCTATGCAGGGGGACCATACCAACAGGTCGTATATTCGGTGCCGATGGAACAACTCCAGGCTGATTAGCGTATGTGGCAGGGGATGGTCTGTGTCTCATGGGTAATGGTTGAGGTGGTAGTATGTCCATGCGGGCTAATTTTGGTGGGGGCATTCCGGGTACGGATGATGCTAGTGCAGGGTTGGCGGCCATATTTGACGCACGGTTTTCCATGTAGGCTTGTTGGGCTGCAGCCATTCTCTCTTTGCGTCTCATGTTTCCAATCCAATTCTATGAAAAGCAAATTTCACGAGTTCATTAGTAATTAAGATAAACCCTATTTTTAGTTATACCAAAGAGCTACAGAAACCTCTAATCTTTATCAGAGTACTGGAGCATGATGAAACACTGAGTTTTATTCAAGTTTAAATCTCAGCATTAAAAAACAAAAATACAAAACAATCAAATAAAAAAAGAAGGCAAGCAGAAACTAAACAGTTCCTCAAAACCTATGGACGAAGTTGGTAAACCCTAACAAATAACAAAGCAGAAACAATTACATTGGATATCCATCAGTTTTTTTGAGTATGTATATTTTTAATTTCCTTTAATTATATAAATAAAAGTCTTGTTTGTGTGTCAGCCAAAGAAACTTTTTTTTTCAAATGAATTTTTTATTTTTAAACATAATGAAGTAATATGATCTATCACTGTCATCTTTGTATTATAATTTTGTACTGTGTATGTGTGACAACATTTGTATCACGAACGACTATAAGCAGATCTCCCATAAATATTACCCTGACGACATCAAATTCCACGCCAGCTTCCAGCGCGCATTCCATTATTTTTCCCTGGTATGCTAAACTCTGTCCCGTCATTCCAGTTTCAAAGTGTTTATGCAGAATCATCTTCTGCTCTGGTGTAAAAGAATATCGCATTTGAATCTGTTAAAAGAAAAGAAAACATATTTAATTAGAATTTCTTCTATCTTTAAGGGCCTTTCTTGTACTAACACAAATAGATAGTGGAACCCTTACTATATTGCAGCAGCATTCTGAATATTTTAGTTAATGGATACCTTGGAGAACCTTAAAAGTCAACTGATTTTTCAAAGGCAAAAAATCATATCTGACGAAAAAATTGGGAGCTAGTGTTAATGATACTGATTTTTGAATGTTCAAAAACCAGCAGAGAAATGAGCATAACAACCCTTTTATTCATTTTCAATGTTGCAGCCACTGTAGTAGCGAATGTTGGAGAGAAACAATAAGCCAATTTGTGATTTAAACTGCGCAATGCCTGTATACATGGTCAATAGACATAAACCTTACATAGAAATGGGCACCGTTATAGAGCCCTCCCTACAACAACCACTAGAGCCAGAACATGTTTTTATCCTTCTAACATTAGGGCACTCAATGCTAGTTTGTGGATAGGTTACGTTTTCAATCTGATTTTTCTCACTTGCTTTGCAGCCTGAGCCAAATCAGTTTCACTGTATTTCTAATTTTATACATTGAAAATAAATAGTGAAGGAATAACTGAATGAACCCATGATGTGCTTATGTTTGACTGACCTTGATATGGGCATGTACACTTCAAACTACATATTGGCTTTGAGGATAGTACCTTGTCCAAAGGTACAGTACAAGCTTAATGCACAGACATTGAGTATTAAAACACCATAGGGTTAAGAGTCCAAGATACAGTACACTGCACATTATTATATTATATATTTTGTTATTTATATAGCGCCTTTCTTTGCATCTATACGAAGAGCTTCAATCCATGGTCATTGGATCCACAAGCTTAAGTGTTGCTACTGTAATCAGCACAGGAGCAAGCAACCCCACCAGTTACCCATTTATACTCCTGGGTGGAGAGAAGCAATGCAGATAAAGTGCCTTGCTCAAGGACACAAGCGAAATGCACAGCGAGGGACTGAAACCCCAACCTCAAGTTTGCGAAACCAAACCTTTCACACTGCGCCAAACCGCTTCTACCAGCAACATAGATGGACATAAAATAAATGAAATATTAAAATAAACTGAACTTACATTATTAAATCGATTCATTGATTTCCTTGCATATGGTGCAACTTGACTATCTCCAAAGCCTGACAGACTACAAGGTGTACTGGCTGAGGTTTGGACCTGAGTTTGGCCCATAATACTTCCAGGAATACTTGTTATAGGAGGTAGTATACTAATATTGAATGGACTACCTCCCTGCTGTACTAATCCATTGCTAGTGTGCTGTGCTGGGCCTCCTCCGGCCTGAAAAATATCTCGTCGTGATTGGTGAGATGGGTTCACTAGGGATTGGTTGGGTATCGTACTTATGCTTGTTGGCAAGACCATTGCTGGGTTGGTGGAGAACTGCTTTTCAGTGGATGGATTCATTCCATTGGGATGATGCTGAGCGATCTTTACAGACTGGTTGGCCATGGAGTTGGTGATGTTATTGGCAACTCCAGAGGTTGGCAGTAGGCTATCTCTACCTTGGAATCCACATGCAGACACATCAAGCAACTCTTCTTTTATGAGCACCGTATCGTCACTTCTATTGCTTTTGAAATTGGCATTTGCATTTTCGTCATTAGAAATCTAAAAAAAAGTAAATAAAACAGAAATCTATGAAATGTCAATAATATTATCATTTTATTTTCTTCTCCACCTAGATGGTTTTACTAAATAACAAAATAACATTTTTACACACCCTCCTCTGGCGACCTTAACATCAGTACTGAAATAATTTTTTAAAGCTCACTCAATTTATTATCACAAGATTAATGTGTCAAAGAGCTAGATAAACAAGAATGACATTTACATTTAATTTAATCAATCAGAACACAACATAACAAAGGCATATGTAAAAAAAACTGCAGAGACCTTTGTAACCTCACTCTCGTAAACTAATATTTTCAAGTGCTATTGTTATTTTAGAGAGTTAAAGTATGTTTTCAGTTTTTAAATTTCTATATTTGTTCCTTGTGTTGTTATTTTATATTGACAGTACAAACATCCAATGTTCTTCGTAATATTATTCATTCTTAATATACTTTATAAATAAATTATATTTATTTTATAAATAGCAAGAGTATTAGAATTCATTTGTATAGAGTGTATAATATAATAATGCAAAATTCTTAATAAAAGTAAAAGACTAGTAATAGACTAGAAAAAAAATCTGAAAAAAATGAGTTAGGGGGAGTGGAATGTTAGAAGCAATCCACATAGCCAGATATCCTAATTAACTCCTTCTGGTCACCCTAAGCCCTGTTGACACTTGATTTTACTCCTTGTATACAAATGGCGGCCATTTTGAAAAATGGC